GCAGTAAAGCCCAGTTGTGTTAAACCGGAAACGTTCACAAAACGAGAACTCATGTATGAAAACTGTTATCTTAAAATGATGAACTAAAATTGTCTGCTTTCTCTTCTTCGCTTGCAATCCTGTACACTTCAAACCAAGTTAAACAGTAAATAGCAAGTTTTCTCAGTTGGAAACCTCTACACTAGTATAAACAAAAGAGGCGCCAGCTCACTGCAAAGTGGTGGATGTTGTATCAGTAAAGTACATCATCTGACAGTCATGCATTCGTGGGATAAGAAGCAATATAAACTAAACGAAATATGTATTTAATAAAGACATTAAACTGTTTCGTGGGTCGAGTTCGTGGATACTCTGTTGCGGCTTTGCTTTAGATCAAACATTCCGCTTTTGTAAGAGGTTAATTGTGCCTGAAGCCACATGAATGGGCTGAGTAACTTGAAAGCTATTTTGGCATCTACAAAAAATACATTCTAGGATGATTTCTTTTCTTCGTACTTATGTTATAAACTTTGTGGCTGGAAGATTGATGAGTAAATAGGTTTTTCATTCTGACCTTATAAAACTTTTAAGTTTTCAGATCATAATTCATGCATCAATCAACAGCTATCTTGTACACTTGATACTGAAGGATATTTTTATGGTTACTCAGGCATACGCAACCTACTTGCCCGCCTGTATGTAAAGTTGTGAGTCTGCATGTATATATGCATACACTGATTCTTACCTGCCTCCCTGACTGCATGTTTGTTGGACTACAATACTACCCACCCTCATTTCTACCCCCATGCCTGCCTGCACGTCTCTGTGTCCGTCTACATATATGAATCTATAGAACTTACCTACTGACCTCCACCTGCTGCTTGTTGTCTGTTGCTTGCTCTCGGATGCCTTCTGTCTCCTATTTTGCCTTTACCTAAAGCTTTATGCCACTAGTTGGTACCTGATGCCTACTGTATGCCCATGTGCTATCTGCTGCCGACTGATTACTTCCCTCTGCCTGTCATCTGCTGATTACTTCACTGACAGACTTACGCGACTGTTAGTTGCCACCTGCCTGTTGTCTGTTACTCTAGTTGCCACCTAATGTTGCATGATGACTGCTGTGTATTGATCATTTTCTGCCACCTGATGTTGCATGCTGCATGGGCTTGCTACCCTGTTCGCCTTGCTCTTCTGGCTGTTACCTGATCATGCTTGCTGCCTGATAACTGACATACAGATACCTGATGGAAATACATTTTAATACTACTCAATGCTACCCTTGCTATTGCCACCTGCTGTCTGCTGACTACTGCTGACAGACTGATGCCTGCCCAGGTCTGCTGCCTGCTGCACACTGCTACTATTCTGTGTGTCATCTGATGCTGAATGCTGGCTGATATCTGCTGTCTGTTATTGCCCCCTGCTAACTACTGCTGTGATAGACTGATGCCTGCCCAGATCTGCTGTCTGCTGCATACTGCTACTCTTCTGTGTGTCACCTAATGCTGAATGCTGGCTGATGTCTGCTGTCTGCTATTACCACTTGCTGACTACTGCTGACAGACTGATGCTTGCTGAGGTCTGCTACCTGCTGCATACTGCTACTCTTATGTGTGTCACCTGATGCTGAATGGTAGCTGATATCTGCTGTCTGCTATCATGATTGCCACCTGCTGTCTGCTGATGACTGCTTTCCCGCTTTTCACTTGATCCTAATTGTTGCCTCCTGGTTGATACCAGCTGCCTGCTAATGTCTCGCTCCCCCCCTCCCCGCCCCCCCTCCCCTTTAATTCTGCCTGCTGTTAGCTGCTGGCAGACTTATTCCTTCTAACATCTTCTGCCTTCTGCCTGATGCAAGCTGCAAGCTTTTCTGCTTGTTACTTAATGCTGAATGTTGCTAATTGCCTGAGATTGTTAAGCTGGGTGGAACATTACAAATTTATCACAGTGGCTAGTTTTCGACATCAGCTGGAGCTACCAATTCTTCTCCATAGATTAATTTACTTTTATGATGGTGTTTTGGAAGCAAACTGCCGCCTCTGTATACAGTTCGTTTAGAAGAAAGGCAAATCACATTATGTAAAGCTCGTGCATGCTTTACTATTAGTTACATGTATGGATCACCACTCCAGCAACACCTTGGTAAATAATTTTATTGAAAACCCAGATCAAAGTCATCGCTCTAAGAACAAGAAGTACGGAATATGACTTATAAACACTCGATTTTTAGCTGAACAACAACACAGGCACACTACGCAATGAAACCAAGTGCAATAGCAAATGAGCGTTAACAATGTTGAAACAGCAAGATTTATGAATAAAGATATAGCATCCTTTACCTTGAGATAAAGGAGGTACCGTTAACTTCAGAGAAACACACGTTCACGCAAATGAAACTGTCAGGTGATTAATGTTGTTATCTGAACCATTTGACTACTTTTTGATTCACTTTTCAGCAAATTAAAATTATTTGATAAAAGGTCTCGTGTACAACGAGGAACACACACACAGACAAAGAAAACTTGTAGGCGATTATTGTTGGTCTCTGAGCCAATTGACCAAATTCTGTGATTTGCTTTCCAGCGAATCAAAAGTATTGTTCACTTTTTCAACCTGATGTTTCGTCAGAGGTGTTGAGGCTCTAAACCGTACCCGCTTTTCAGCCCCCACTTTTGACAAGTCTGGTAAAACGCATAAACTTCTTCTTCGAGGCGTCGTTGAAGTTACCGGTGCAAATTCCTTGACTTCGCCGGTTGTATTGTTTACCCTTTGAGGTATACTTGGCAATCTCCATTCCTTCATCCCTCTGTTGTTGCCGCAATGTAAATCTTGTAAAGTTACCTGGTCCGTGGTCCAAGAAACATTTCTCCAAGTTTGAAGAGAAAAACTGCTTTCTGACTGTGACCTTACAAGACGTCTCTGGTTAGGGATGTCACACACCTCTGCATTGTCGCATCTCGATTCTAAAAGTTCCGAATATGGCCGTAATCCCTCACTTGAAGCGCGGGTCACTTTTTGCTTATTGTTTCTTGAGGCATCATCAGTTTCACTGTTAACTTGTGAATCTTGTGCGCTCATCCTTTCCAGCACGGACAATTGAGAATTGTTTTGAAGAGAACGCTTAGGACCCCGAATGATATTTACTCCGGTGGTCAACATGACGCGGAAAATGATATTTCACCCTTCCACAGTTTATCTAATTTAAATAAATTATCTTGTCGTGCTAATAGAACAAAGTTCAATTTAAGAAAATGCGAGTGAAAGAAAGAGAACTCTAAATTTGATAACAAACTGAAATCGAACTTCTGTTGGCTTTAAAAAATGGTTTTAGCATGCTTAATTGTTCAACGTACTGAAATACTGTGAAATCCCCTAGTAGAACTTTTTATCACGATTGATCTATCGTCGACATGGTGTAAACAGTCTTTTATAGGATGAATATGTATAATGTATGGCATGACCAGATCACGGTTTTCAATCAACCTGCGCATATGACAGCGCCATGGTTGACTGAATACGTATGTTTTTTTTTTTAAATTGTATTCTCCTGAAGATTTATTAGCTTTTCAGTCTCTCTGTTTTGTTTCGACAGTACTTCATACTCTTCAACCCAACTTCTGGTCTTATTCAATAAGTTGTCTTCAGTGAAATCTATATTACCGTAGTTTTTGAACCACCATGCAATACACCACATCACCGTGAAAGTTCTAGTGTCAGATGTACAGCCCTTGCTAACAGGATATCTTTACTTGAACGCTGTTTTTAACACTGTGTAAGGAAATCATCGAAGAGTTGGTTACATAACTTCAGTACTGAGAAATAGCACTCAAAATCATAATTGTGCGGAATTAACAATTCACTCTTCCACTTATGTTCTGCGGTGTGGCTGCCTGCCAAAGGTTGTCTCGTCCACGTGAGGCACACTTGGGTGCCTCTGTGTTAGAATCTGCTTATCTCGATTCCCGGGGGAGGGGGGTACCGCCATATATGGGCTATATAGGTATGTGCCGCTGTCAAGGGTATTGTTTTCAAGCAGTTTACTCTAGGATAGGGTATATAAATCAGAGCGTTTGGGTCTAGAATAGGGTATAATTTTTGACAAAACTGACTAGTTGGTTGAAGATTTTATCTAGACTAAGGAAACCAGGAATTGCCACTCAAAAATATAAAAAAATCAAATCAGCAAGTTTAAATTTACGCAAATCAGCCTCGACAGTGTCGATAGATGGGGGGATTTGGGGAGTTTTAGTCTAGTATAGGGTAGCAAAATTCAGCTGAATTAGCTCTGGTATAGGCTAAGGGTTCCAGGGTCCCAGCGGCACATCCCCACCCAGACATTCCCAAAGTACCTCCCCCCCCCCCCGGGGGTCTCGATTCCTTTGTGATTCAGTGATTTTACGGCGTGACATCTTTTTTGCAGAGTAATTGCCGGTACATTTGTTGTCTGATCACTCTGCAGGGACACGAAAACAAAATAATTTCTAACTTAGTACACCAGTCGCATGGGAACAAGGACGCATCTTGTTTATTGATCAGACACAGTAAACAGCCCCACTTCTTAGCAAGATACTTACTTGCATACCAACGAATCTACATGCCGACCCACAATCATCTCATAATAACAACGTGAAAAATTATATTTATTCACAGACGATGCTGGATTGTTGTTTTGACTTTACCAAAATACACTGAACTTGCCCGAGGGCTTGAATTATCTTGATTCAATTAGGTGAAAATTCACTAACATTTGTTTAATCTGATGCATGGTCAAAGTAGAAATTTCCTCGGTTTAGCTTCTACAAGAATTTTTATGAGTCAGGCATTCTTTTGGCCGTTATCTCATCCCGGCGTTCTGGCCTATTTAAAGTCGCCATTTGCAAGTGTACTTCTAAAGCTACATCCCGGAAAGGGAAAAAGGGCCATTAATTCTAGCACGCAAAATCTGAGACATACACGCAATGTATTTATCCAGAAACTTTATGTTATTGGGAAAATGTAAGAACTGAGGATCGAAGAATACGAAATGGGCTGAACTGACTGCGTTTATAAGATGTGGTGGTGTGAAAACTGTTCTTTGGTTGGTGGTGTGTTGCAGAACTAAATCTACTCTTGTGAATCAGTATGACTACATAAGAGGAACCAGCTGACAAATCTTGTAAGACGCTGGACCTATGCTTGTGGAAGTGGCTGTACGCATATAACATAACCAAAAAAATAAAGGTGTTCAAGAAACAAAGAGCCGGAAATGGCTATAGGAAGGAACACCATTCTTTCTGTTGTATCCTCGTACCAATAAAAAAAAAAGAGAGTGTTGTGGTGATTCTACTTTGTTTACATAAGTATCCCTTGGGCCAAATTCAGAGGTTAAGCATTTTAAAAAGGTTATTTGCCGATATTGCTTGTCTTCGTAGCATGTTTACATCACGTGTTTAAGTACCGCTTTTGTTCTCAGTGATCATGCGGCAGTTCTTGAAGTAAAGACAGAAGCATATTAATGTAAATTTGATAACGAACCGTTGAAAGAGTCCATAAGTCAGTCTTCATTCTACGGACCAACCTTAGCTGTAATCACTTTCAAGCAGTAGCAAGATATTGAAAGAGTTCAACCACAGGAACACCACTAATAGTCTGATAATGAGTTCATTGTTCAACATTCAGCGGTTTCGATATTGCTTCTGTTAACGTTTGTCTTCAACAAGGAAGTGAAGCAATCACTCTTCTGATTTGAAATTTACCTTTCAAAACAAAATGCCCGGGAAATGTTTAACTAGTCAATAACAAGTGTTAACCGAAGTTTTTCTGCGCTTCTGGAATTTTCATTATCGGCTATCATCTTGATTATATGTCACAGCCGTTTCTTTATTATTACAGGCTCGACTGGCAGAAGCGCTATTCGATGTTATTGTTTTCGTATTCAATTAACGATCCTCAGTGAGCAAAACCAAAACAACAGAACGAAGCTCAATGTGTATGAAAGCTAGCACAACTGCTAATCAGCATATCGTGCACTTTATGATTCTATACGAACAACACGGGAAGAACACGTGATAATTTTTGGTCAGCAACGAAATTCTCGTTAATGTTTGTAATGCATATTCATTATTCCTCTTCAAGAGAATCTGGCTCTTGAACAAGGTATTTAAATAAACTTCATTTGCCACTTTTGGTACGTATTCGGTGGCTCTATGTGTCCTATTCAAGAGAGAACTTCTCCCTATTAGAACTGATTGTTGATGTGGAGAAAAGTTTGACAAATATGAACGCCTCTAGAGAAAAACTGCTGGCAAAAAAATAAATAAATAAATAAAAACAGGGTTCATGGAAACCAATACAAGTTAAATTACATTTAGTTCGAGTAGTTTAATTTCACGACCAAACAAAACTTCCAACACAGTAAAAGAATTATAGAAAACCAAACTGTTAGTAACAAGATCGCATTTGGAATATACACGCACACGGAGCCAGGAGAAATGATTTCTTCGAAAATACATTCATAACAAATTGTTAAAACAAGCCGGCATACTGAAACACACGACACATGAACTGACAACGTTTTGCTCAGTCACTCTTGCATTGATCCTTCCCTGCAGCAGTTCAGTTCGTTGAATATTTTTTGCTAAGTGAGCGAAAAAATGCCGTAGAAAAACATAGCGCTTAGTTGTCTTTCAGCTGCTTTCTTGAAGCGATTTCCGTTGCAATTCGCGCATTCTAAGTTTGTACTCTATAGCCTCACTAAGACAGTTGTGTTGAATTTTCCGTTGAGGGCCAACAGGCCTTGGGAATGCTTTATTTTGAGCTACACGCTTTGAATGTGACTTAATGTTCTCATTCTTATTGTCAGCAAAATGTATTCGACGCGTCGCTTCATCAAGTCTGGGAACGTCTGCTGTGGCTATCGGTCGGCGGGTAGGAAGAGAAACCGATTCGACAACCCTTCTTTTAAATAAGTAGGCAGAATAGGGACCAGGCTCGTTCTTTCCATTCGTAGGACCTGGCGTTAGTCCTGAGTCTGTGGACAAACTTCTAGTCAGCTTTCTTGATTTTCGACTTTTTAGATATTTGTTTATCATCTTAGAGCCTCTTAGCCTTTCTACCAGTAAATCATCTTTTCCCCCACGTTGGTCTTCAGTGTTACTCCCTCTTGGTTTACGATTAATTGGTGGAAGAAAATTGGATTCGAGAATCTTCCTTGTGAGACTGTTAAACGTGTCCATATCTTCAAGAGAAAGGTGTTCCAAAGCATACTCCAGCTGTTCGTTGTTGCGTTTCTTCTTTTGTTTGAGAGCGTGCTGCTCAATGTCTTCAAGTTTTCTTCGAAGCCGTCGTTCCTCAAAACCATTTTTCTTCGTAGTTTCATCCGCGACTTCGCTCGTCAGCGATCTTTTTCTCTCGCTGGAGTTCATATCTAGCCCATCTGCCTTTTCACTTCTAACTTAGCGACTGAATTCTGAGGTACGTGATCCCGAACTACTTCACCGAAACGCTCTGGTGACTTGCAGTAATTCTGATCCGGACCAGTAAGTACACATGTAAACTCACACGAGTAAAACAAAACCGCCATCACAGTTTAAAATTATAGACGAATACTTAAGGTGATTTCACTCAATAAGTTGCGTCTGCGTTTAACCCTGTTTAAGGTCTTTTTAACGTTGCTTCCTTTCAGTTTTGAAGGTACATCGTGTTTCCAATTAAAACATAGTTTCCATTTTATTTTGTTCAAAGTCGCAAAATAAACCTTTGGGGCATTTTGAGCTGTTAGCCGACGAAATCTCTTTTTTCTAGCTTTGATAGCATTTTAAAAGGATCAGTATCGTGGTATAACTGTTCCAAGAAACGAAAAAAATAAATCGAGGCAGCTGCTTTCTAGCACGTAGCAATGTTTTATCCAGAACGTACTCATTCAGAAAGTTAGCCGGTTGACTTGACTTGTGGGAGGATTATAAACAAAGAAATTGAACAAATTCACGTGTGCAATTTTGTTTTGAATTAGCTTTAAATCGATCATCTATAACTTGAAATTACTCACGTAAAAACCGTGATATATCAAAGATAAACGATTTTCAAGCTAACAGATCCAGCAAGGGTCCAATTTGAAAAGCTGCCAGTTCTTTGTCCCATTAACAGATTGCGATATAAGCTATAATAGATTTTGGGGGTGCCAGTAGCGTAATTCTCAGAACATTAGTAGTTTCCAATTGCAAAGGGCGGATCGCTTTGCCCAATTTAAAATTATCGTATGTTTGCCGCTTATAAACTAGTTGGACAATTTTGGTTCTTTATAAATAGAGTTTTTGTCATGAGTGATTACGATCACCTGTTTTTGCCTGGTCATGCGTGCGGAAGGCAAGCATTGGCATGCTATCAAGTCAATTCTTTTCACCAGTATCGCGCTAGAACCAATGTGCAAAAGGTTAATTCGTGCGAAAATATCTGTTAAGGTATCGAGTATTGCATACAATCAGTGTCTAACGTCGGTCCGGTACGTTTCATGATGTGCTTTCAATTGATCAGCGATAATATTAAATATTTAGGGGCTTTTGGGGTCAGTACACAGAAATGAAGAGATAGCATTTTTAGCATCGTTTAGTTCCATTATGTTACCGCAAGAGGGCGTTCTCTACTCTCATCTCAACTGCTGTAATTACTTGTCATTGTGTCAAATTGGGTTCAAAATCCAATGCCTACTAGTTTTAGTCTGTTTTAATGAGAAACAAATACATTTTCGCTTTCATAAGGATAACCTGTCTGAAGACAGTGACATGAAGGAACATAAACGAAAACCATTAACCAGCATTTTTCTGTTGCGATTAGCCTTGGGGGCAGGCTTAGATCTGAATGTTAATTTCTTTCATTTGTAGCCATCCAGCTTTTCGAAACTTTCTTAAAATTTTTATTAGTAAGAGAGTCAAAACGGAGCAAGGCATGGCTAAAAAATACGTTCATGGAAGTCAATTACCTGACACGACCTCCATCATAACCAAATAACCAATAGCAAAACAGATAAGCAAATTTATGTCATGACATAAAAAACAATCATGATATCTTTTTACGGAGACATGGATAAGAAGAAAAACAAATGAAAACCATCTTATTGTAAAATTTCACAGATTCCCGAATTGTCTACTCGAGCAGCAAGAGTTGCAAACCTGTGCTTGACCTTTTCTGTGTTGCGGTTAGTTTGGGAAAGAGCTAACCAATGCAAGTGTAGCGAGCTGTACCTAAGAAAGAATGACAATCAAACTAGCGACATAACAACCATGGATGAGGCAAAACCGATTCGATTCAAAACACGACCGCGCATTTCTTCGTTGCCAGACGGAATAAGAGAAATAAGCGCCTCTTTTGTGAATTTTAGACACAGCTCATTCGACACAAAGCTACCGAAACACTTATCAGCTGATGCCGGCAGAAGACATTCCATCCACGTACCATACATAGGCTCCTCTTCGCAGGATTTCACTGACGAGGCCAAGTTTTGTATCAATCCCGGGGCTGAATCTTGCATGGAGCCGTGTGTCGAAGGAAGCTCGATTAAAGACATTAAAGGATGCGACAGTGCGGTAGAGACAAGGAATACTCAATTTCCTTCGCTTCAGGAAACGCAGGTAACCCTTGAACCAACAGCTGGTAAGAAAATTAAGAGACTGCAGGGACTGCATTCATATGATGACGAGAGCGAGGGAACGATACAAACGTCTTTTCAAGGCCGGGCTTGCGTTAAGACTGGAACAAATCATGTATTACCTCAGAGCGTAAGTGCAAAATCAACATTTCCCATTATCAAAAGTACTTTACAAGATTGCAGGAGAAACTCTTTTCCAGTTTCAACAGAAAATATGGAAGAACTTTTTCCGTTGTCGTTTTCAGCAAGTGGAACATTAGGAGAAGGCGGTGTTGGACACATTAAAGCATCGAGAGCTAACTCACTGCCGCAGGTCACTCAAGCTAAGCTCGCAAACCTGAAAATCGACCAACCAGAAAAAGCCGGTTGCAACTTGGCAGAAACCGAAAATCATAGAAAATTAACTCCATGGCCAGCCGACACTGGTTATCACTGCTTTCGTACCAACCAGACAAGATCTTACACAGAAGGCAAAACTAAGAACGCTTACGAAAGTGACAAAGCACAAGCTATGAGAACATATGTGGAGGAGGCAGATGCTTGGTTCAACAAAGAGGAGGCGACAGCTGTAAGGCTGTTTGAATGGCTTAAGGATCAAACGGACAGCGACGAATCACGTTAGGAGTATGCCGTTCTGATCTGTTATGTCAATGTCTAATTCCTTTCCTTTTATAAATACAAGCTTACGCCAAGATTATGTTGAGAGTAAAACAACTAATTAACGAGGCCAAATTGTCTTCATGAATAAACAAATTAAACTTCTCATAAGAAGTAATTAATATATTAGAAATACATAGAGACTAGTATTACTACACTCTTTATTTTTCTTAAGAATATTGTTTTTCCGCCCGAGGCTGAATATTCTTATTTTTCTGCCGATTTTAGGCTGAAAATATTCTTGTGAATATTTTCAGATTACAGCGTAGAACATGTCTGCTTTCGACTGAATGTGTACGGCGTCAGGATGGTGTTGAATTAATTTTGGAGTCAGCCTAAAGGTATCTAAGCCTGATATGATACTTAACTTCTTGTAGAAATGTTATTAGTATCGAACATACCGCTGGTACTGTTTTTGTCGCCAGTTTTGGCTAGTTTGCCGTTTAAAGAAAGGAAGAATTTTATATGGTTTAGTTAAGAAACATGAGTGCATTGTAAGTACAATATTCTTTTCAAAATCTCAGCCTCGGGTTTATTCCGAAAATATCCTTAAAACTTCACAAATTTCGGCGTCGATATTCTTATGAAACATAGTCTTATAAAAAAGAAAGAGTGTACCGGAATTACCTGTCCGCGATGTATTTTCTTCCAAATCCATCTCCCAAAGAAAGAACTTGTGGTACAGGCAAACTGTCCGCAAGTAACATTGAAATTTATAAAATTCATGTAGGTTTTAGGGGGAGAGGGAGATCAGAAAAGCGTAGGATAAGATAGACATATTCCTTATTGTGAACAAATCCAAGTTATTAGCTAGGCTATCGATATGACAATTAAAGACCTCACTGATAGCGTCATTAGAGTCGGGAACAGAACAAGCTGGCGAGACATTTTAGTTTGAAGCTTAATTACCACAGTTGTCATTTATAGCATGTCTTATAGAAATTGTACAGCTAGATAATTATGACCAGCAGTGTCAGGTAATGTAGCTTAGTGTCTCTTGCATCCAGTCTCCTAAATATTAATTATATGTGCTACTAATTACTGCAATGTTTTGGTTCTTGTGCAACATTTTCTCTTAAGCCCTACTGTTCCCTGTAAAATTAAGAAAATGGCTTCCATTCCCTGCTCTCCCCTCATTAATAAACACACTATTTGGACATGCTGGAACATTTTATAATTACCCTTACAGTATATTGCTCATCGGTCTGTAAATACAGGCACGTCATCTATTTCTTTACCCTTCCCCTTATTACAATTTTAGCTTTCATGGAAAAGTCTCCCACCCTCCCTTACAACATTGGAAAACTGAGTCCCAATTGTCCGGTGCAACAAGAAATGGAAAGCATTGCTTCTTGCAGTGACTGTCCGGTCCTCACTTTCCAAGCAGGCAACCATAAGCGAAACACTTTCAGCCAATCAGCGAGCACCTTACGCTTATGCCAACCATATCCTCACTGGACATAACAGCGACATAAGTATAAGCATAAAGCTCGGTCCTTACTTGCAACGCAAGCATAAGCCTGACAAGCATAAGCTTATGCCAGTATCGAAAGTGAGGACCGGGCTTAAATGAATTCAGACAGTAAATCTCATAGTTCTTTACACCGAATCAACGTTGAGAATGGCATTGCTTGAGAACATTCATTTGCTGATAGTGTCCCTAGATTTACTTCTACATGGATCAAAACTCCAGCGGCTAAGTCGGTCAGTTCGTATGAAAGCTTATGAAGCGAGCTAGTCGAAACACTTTCACCCCCCCTCAGGGTTGACTAAGAAGGTAATATCTTATCTAACGAGAGAAAAGTCGGCGATATAGAGAAGAAATCTGAAACGTGAAACGGCAGAAGCGTGGAGTATTTTCTATTTGATCAGGGAAAGGTAAATCAAGATTACTGCGAGATTTCTTATCAGTTTTCTCGTTCCGCAAGCATGAGACTCACAGTATGGTTTTGCACATAACCGCGGCATGACTGGTCAAGGCCTGTTGTGAGCAGCGAAATGATACAGCGTTTAAAAGAGACAACGCTGTAACCAAATAATGAACTGAACTGAGCCAGGCCTAGCAAATGGAAACAAGAGCAACTTAGTGAAAACTTGAGATAACGAACGCAATTTTGTCTTTATTTTTCGAATTTTGACCTCGATATATGAAGAAATGAATAAATTCTAATTCAAAGTTCTTTTATAGCACATGTTTTTCATGTTCCTCCTGCCTAAGAACATTAACAGGAGAGCAAACCGCAATCAGCCTGTGTACACCATTTTATCTTTGCAGTCTAAATCTTGTTTACCTGATGCTGCGAAAAGACACGGCGACTGATTTCGATTGACGTTGTTT